GGAACATGGCTGCCGCTTTTTTCTGGCTCGGGGTTTTGCCGGAGAAAAGCTCCAGTCTAGACGGGATTTTGCGGATAATAAGCCCTTTTCCACAAGATCCCTTATTTCTACTTTCAAGACTAGACTGGCGCTTTTCTCCAGCAAAACCCCGAGCCGGAAAAAAGCGGCAGCCATGTTCATGCAAATGCCGCGGGGGATATTTAAATCCCCCGTGGAATTTGCAATTCCGAAGTGTCTCATTAGCATCCCTTTTACAGAAAAGGGTGCCAGTGTAGACACAGCCTCAAAGTTTAACTGTTTAACCAATAACCATCAGCATACTTAAACAGTTAAACTCACTGGCTGGGAACTCATGGCTGGCAGCCGGGAGCAGGGCCTGCTGCTGGGACCCCACCAGCAACTAGGAGCATGCCAGGAGAGGGGCCTGCTGCAGCGGCGGTGCCAATAGCTGAGAGCCTGCCGGCTGCAGGACCAGTTTCTGGGAACCCATCAGCAGTTGTGAGTTCACCGGGAGTAGGGTTGGCTGTGGCAATGGCGCCGGCTGCCACATCTGGGAGGGGGCAGAGCCTGCGGTGAGGAGCAGCAATCCTTCCCTTCCTAGTGCTACACCCCCTAAATGTTTATCTGTGTTAGTGATAGCTTTTTGATCAGTTACACAGTTAATGTTTTTCTATATTTTTTACATCCCTAGTTGTGCATGTATGGCAAAATATGCATATTGTCACTCAGCCGGCCTGGCTGGAGGAGGTAGGGTTTGATGTTTGAAAAAGGGCTGCTCTTAAGGAGCAGTGTGCTTAGACCCCATGTCTACTGCCCATGATCAGACTGATGAGTCTAGTCTGTGGATTTCTGTAGGGAATAAAATGTAATGTGGTCTCATCCTTTAAACATTTCACTTATAACTCTACCTAAAGAGGACACTGGCCTCTTCATATATGTTATAGACTAGACTCCAACTAAAATCAAAGCTGCATTGTGCTGGGCCTTGTAGTAACACATCCCTGCCAGAGCCGTAACAAGGGTGGGGCAAGTAGGGCACTTGCCCCAGGTGCAGTACATTTAGGGGCGCAAAAATTAGAAAGTTAAAATATTATTTCATTATATCTTTACTATCAACTATTTGCAATCTCAATATACGTGCAATTAACAACATGTGCAATGAATAGTCATTTTTGTGACTATTCCTGTTTTTATTTTCTGTTTATTCTCCTTCCAGGCACCGTTTCCTTTTAGCTTGTCCATATTTACCTCTGATCTTTGCTTCCCCAACCCTTGTTTTTCTCCTGTTTCCTTTCACTCTCTGTTCTCCCTGTTGTTCTCTTGCACAATATATTTTGCCCTGTAACATTGCTTGAGATATTTTCTATCATCATCTTCATGCACAGTGATTAATTGCTATGCTTTCAGGCCCTTCAGAAGTCTTTCTCCTAGCAATCCCTGGATGGAATGCAGCCCCACAAAACAGGTACGTTTTGCTGTGCTACTATTGAACCAGGAGGCATTGAGGAGACCTGTATGTAAAGGGAGAATGCATGTGGGTCTGGAAGGGCAAGGGTGGATGACAGCTGAAGATGCAGCCTTCTTTTGAGGATAGCTGGAGTCATGGAGCTTCTTGCAGTCAGAGGAGGTTCCTAGAGATGGGTCTGACCTGCCCCGAGGGCAGCTTTTACAGGGGAAGAGGAAGCCTCTTTCCTCTCCATCTGTGACAAACAGCTGGGACAGATTTCCCAGGGGCAATCAGATTTCACTCTCTGTGATGCATTTTTCACAGCTGTTTATTTGGTTGGGCCCTATGTATAAGTGAATCAAATCATGAAAACACCTTAAGTTACCATAAACTACAGTGTTTTATTTGCATTTTTATATAGATTGTCAGCCTGTTTATGCAAATAGCGTGGTGATCTGTTTAAACACAGCATGTCTATATAGTAAATCTGTTCCTCTAACAGGTTTATTACCTTTAATTGGGATTTTATTATGTATAACTCTTAAATAATAAGTTTCAGGGGAGGACTAGTCGCGTTAGTTTGTTTTAGCAAAAACAACAAGGAGTCCTGTGGAACATTTAAAGATTGACAAATGTATGTGGACATGAGTTTTCGTAGGCTGCAACCCATGACGAAGTGGGTTCCGCTCATAAAAACTTATGCCTAAATTAATTCGTTAGTCTTTAAGGTGTCTGAGGACGACTTGTTTTTTCTTAAATAATAGTATCACAATTTATTATTTTCATAGTTATACCCTTTAAAATGAACTGAAATTATTCATTCTACATATTCTCAAATCTTGGAGGAAAATTATTCAATTGTGTTATTGCTGATTACTCAAAGATAAACGTACACATGCATATTTTTATAAAAGTAGACTTTTTTTTTTAACCTTTCCTCTGCTAACCAATGCCACTGATACTACTAATGCTATGGTAAGTAGGTGCCAAGTGTAAGGTTTAGTAAGGTATAACTAGGAAGATATTCCCACAAGTGGTAAATTGTGCCAGCTGAAGATTTGTGAAAATGAATCAGGGTGGGGAGCAAAAGATGTATCTTCTTGGGTTTTTTGCAGCCTCAATCTTTACTATAGGAAGGCCTCTGCAAAGAGGGAAATCTAGTGATGAGCTCTGCACGTGGACAGATGAGGCCAGGGAATTCTGCAGCAGACGAGAGTGCCCTGCCGTAGACTCCCAGGAGTTTCACTGTGAGCTCTGTTTTTTGTTATGTTACAGCAGTGGTCTCCAACCTTTTTAAGCATGAGATCTCTTTTTGAATTTAAATGCAATCCAGGATCTACCTCAAACCCGAATACTCTTGCCCTGTCTCCTTCCCACCCGTTCTCAGAGGCCCTGCCTCTTTTTACTCCATCTTCCCTCATCCTCACTCACTTTTATCAGGCTGGGGGCAGAGGGCTGGGGTGTGGGGGAGGGAGATGTGGACTCTGACTTGGTCTAAAGGATTTAAGTGTGGGAGGGGTTCTGAGCTGAGCCTGGGGCAGGAAATTGAGGTGCAGGTTCAGGGTGCAGGTGTGGGAGGGAGTTTGGGTGCTGGGGGACTCAGGGCTAGGGCAGGAGTTTGGGATGCAGGAGGGTTCAGGTCTGGGTCTGGGGTTTGGAATGTGGGCTCCAGCTGGGCATAGGTGGCTTCTGGGTGGTGGTGCAGGGAAATAAGGCAGGCTCACCACTACTCTGGCCCTGCGCCACTCCCAAAAGCAGCGAGCAAATTCTCTCCATCCCTTCCTCCCCTGCCCCGCTCTATGGAGATGGGGTACAGAGTGGGGGGAGGGGCATCCTGACATTAGCGCCCCTTCCTTTTCTTCCTGAGCCCTGCACAACAAGCAAGAGGCTCCTGGGGGGACAGCCCCAAGGCAGAGGGCAGGAGCAGCACAGCAGTGCTGAGATGGGTAGATAAAGTGCCAGCACTTGATAGCCTCCCATCCAAACCTGTCAAAGGCTCCAAGATCTACTGGTTGGTGAGCACTGTGTTACAGTAATACTTTAAAGATATGTGGGGAGGCTGTCTTCCCTGAAGAACTTATGATAAAAAAGATAAGGAACAGCAGACAGGCCAGGAAAAGGGGTACACTGTGCCAACAAAGTTACCAGAGTGATCATTACCATACATCTTGTTACTCCCATTGTTATTGATTTTTTTCGTTAAGGCTATATAATCATCAGCTGTCCCTCTGGTTGGCCATTATTGACTGGCTGATTTCCTGTATATATTGCTCTACAATTGGGTTATATTGGAGGCAGGGGAGGAGAGAGTGGTGATCATACAGTTGTGATCAGGAAAGGAGTTTGTAAATGTGTGGCTTCAGGGCAGCCCTACACATGCCCCCTTGCCTCAGTTTCTCTTTTGATTCCTCAGATAAACTCTGTTCAGCTTTTAGAGTACACAAATAACCCTTGCATGGGGTTAATTTATTATTGAACTCCGTCACCTCTACCGTAAACCAGACACCTTCCCTCCTCCCCGAACAACTGTTTCTCACTGGTCCCACCAGTCCAGCACCAAGTATGGCTCTGGTATGTCTCATCAGACCTCACTCCAGCTCCTCCTGTTGGGGTGTTTCTCTGCCCTGTTTCCTTCCCATCTGGGGATCAGTGGGTTTACCCCTCCATCATTCTCGAGCCTTCAGCTGTCTCTGGCCCTCCAGCTTCAAGTCTGAGGCCCTCTGCCTTCAACCCTCTCTGGCCTGGGGAAGTTTACTCTTGTTTCTGGACTGCTTCTTCCCTCTCAAGATGCTGAGGGGTAGCCCCAGCCTCCGTATGACACCAAACTAGGGCACACCTGGTCAGGAATAGGAGACCATTCAATTTAAGGGGCCAGCCATTCTGTTACAGGATGGAAGAAAATGCAGAGAGGAGTGTGGGAGAAGCAGATAAATGGGGGACCTTAGCTAGAGTGAAGTAGAGGGATGACCCAGAAATCTCACAAGAAAGTAAGCAGGGAAAAAGTTGTTTAGGGCCATTAAGGCAAGGATCATCACTTCAAACCAGATATAGTGAAGGAGATGCTGGTGGAAGGAGTGAAAGATGCAGTCAGATTAACAAGCAAGGATGCTAATCTTAATGGCTGTCATTGGTATGGACTGAAGGGGGCATCATTGAGGTTGAATTGGATTCACGACTCCGTCAAGATCATGCTGTAGCTGAGGGAATGATGGAAATAGTCAACAATAATCTCATTTTGAGAGAGAATTTAATTTGATAATATTTGAGACTTTCTTGTGTTCACTGTCCGAGCAGTTGAGTTCTTCAGCTTTCTTCCATGTAGCTGAATTTTAGCTTTAGCTCTCAAATGTTCCCTCATGCTGAGTTCTGAATGGTAAGTTTGCTCATGCTCAGATGCATGTTAACACAAATCTGTGACTATTATAATTCATAATTAGTGATATAAATCATCTAACAAAGGTAATGAAGTCTCAGCGTGAGTTTTGATGATATGTTTGATTGTAATCACAATTTTAGCTACCTGCAAATGAGGAATTATATTTTGACGAAATTCCTTGATTGATTTCAAATAGGATGTTTGTGGATATGACTGAATATAAGTGAAGTAGTTGTTCCCTGGTTAGAGGTCAGAGCAATACAGTTCTCTGTTCTAATGGTATCACTTTCAATGGCAGAACGGTACAAAGCTAAATACTGTAGTTTGCTCAAATAATGACTGTGCCAAAGATAAAGTAAAAGGAAGAGCAGCTGAACTTCTTTCAATGTGAGATTCCAGCTGGTCATATCTTATGCTGCCACATTTTCGCTGGCTTGTAAGGACAGGAAGACACTTTCTCCCTGTACACTACAGTTCTAATAAAACAGTATGAAAATTAATGCAAATAAAATGGGTTGGCTGGAAGCTGATTTAGACTAACTTGTTGGTTTCCTAGTTGCCACTATAGTGCTTTATATACTGAAAAGCACCCCAAATTTTGGGTGTGGGGGATAGAAATTTCCTCTGAAAGTGGGAGGAAATTCCTCAGAAAGGGGAAGGAATTTCCATTAAATAAAGTTTTAAAGACCTTGGGCCAGCATGTATTCTTATATGCCTAGTTAAACTGCAGGGTAGGTATATGGAGAGGTAATTAATCTTTTTGGGGAACAGCATCAATAAAGCAACTGGTAAATAATATTTAAATTGCTTCTACACCTGTATGAGCCAGACTCTAATAACTGATTCTTCTAAGTTAGTGAATTTTATATCACTTCATCTGCCCCCATACAGTTTTTAAAAGGAGGTAATGTACAAAATTGCAGGGAAAGTTTTCCATACCTGCACTGGAATAATATTAGCATTTTTTTTACAGTCCTGTATATTAGGCCTAAGAACCCTGTTACTTGGCATATAACTATATGGCTACGTCTACACTGGCCCCAAATTCCGAAAAAGGGATGCAAAGCAGGTAAGTCAGCATAGTGAAATCCACGGGGGATTTAAATATCCCCCACGTATTTAAATAAACATGTCCGCCGCTTTTTTTCCGGCTTGGGGAAAAGCCGGAAAAAAGCGTCTAGACTGGCGCGATCCTCCGGAATAAAGCCCTTTTCCGGAGGATCTCTTATTCCTACCCCGCGGATTTCCCTATGCTGACTTACCTGCTTTGCATCCCTTTTCCGGAATTTGGGGCCAGTGTAGATGTAGCCTATATCTGTTATATACTTTAGAGAGTTTGTCTGTCTGTTTGATCAAGAACTCTTCCTAAGTGATAAGAATTCTTTCTAAACAGTAAGGCTACATCTAGACTGGCCCCTATTCCGAAATAGCCATGCTAATTTCCAACTTTGGAATAGGGAAATCCGCGGGGGATTTAAATATCCCCCGCGGGATTTAAATAAACATGTCCGCCGCTTTTTTTCCGGCTTGGGGAAAAGCCGGAAAAAAGCATCTAGACTGGCGCGATCCTCCGGAATAAAGCCCTTTTCCGGAGGATCTCTTATTCCTACGGGGGATATTTAAATCCCCCGCGGATTTCCCT